GCGATCCTCAGATCTCAGCCTCCTGAGTATCTACGATTACAGGTGTAAGCCACCAGCGCCCGGCTCAATTTGATTTTTAAATTAAAAATACAATATTAGGGATAAAAGTGTAGCTCAGTGATAAGGTGCCTGACTACCTAACTCAAGGCCCTGAGTTCAAACCCCAGTATTGCCAAAAATAAAGAAACTTCAGCTGGGTGCTGGTGGCTCATGCCTGTAATCCTAGCTACCCAGGAGGCTGAGATCTGAGAATGGTGGTTTGAAGCCAGCCTGGGCAGCAAGTTTCCTATGAGTCTCTCTCTCTCTGTCTCTCTTTTTTTTTTTTTTTTGTCGGTCATGGGGCTTGAACTCTGGGCCTGGACGCTGGCCCTCAGCTCTTCAGCTCAAGGCAAGCGCTCTACCACTTGAGCCATAGCACCACTTCTAGTTTTCTGGTGGTTTATTAGAGATAAGAGTTTCACAGACTTTCCTGCCCAGACTGGCTTTGAACTGAGATCCTCAGACCTCAGCCTTCTGAGTAGCTAGGATGACAGGTGGGAGCCACCAGCTCCCAGCCCCTATGAGACTCTTTATGTCCATTTAACCACTAGAAAACTAGAAGTGACCCTTTGGTTCAAGTGGTAAGCCATGCCTCCAATTCTGACATTTTCCCTGGCTAATTGGAATAAGAGTCTCCAGGATTTATCTGTCTAGGCTGATTCTGAATGATCACATCTGAGTATCTAAGATTAGAGGCACTGGCTGCTGAGACTGGCATCAGTGGAATTTTATATTTATTTTTTGCATAATTTGATGGGGTGCTCTTCCAATGTCTGTGTGTGTGTGTGTGTGTGTGTGTTTTGCTGGGAATGGAACCCAAGGCCATGTGCTAGTCAAGTGTTCTACCACTGAATTGCAGTCCCAGCCCTTCCAGTGCTGGTGTTAACCTGGCCAAAGAACAAGTATCTTCAAATGCTTGTTGAGAATATCTACTTGCTGTGAACTGTGGTCCAGGTAGAATCTGAGGCCACAGTCCTTCCTTTACTGCTGATTTTTTTTTTTTCATTCATGGGGCTTGAACTCTGGGCCTGGGTTCTGTCCCTCAGCTCTTCAGCTCAAGGCTAGTGCTCTACCACTTGAGCCACAGCGCCACTTCCGGTTTTTCTGCTTATGTGGTGCTGAGGAATCGAACCCAGGGCTTCATGCATGCAAGGCAAGCGCTCTATCACTGAGACACCTTCCCAGCCCCTACTGCTGATTTCGTCTGAAACCTTTCAGAGCCAATTTTTTTTTTTTTTTTGTCGGTCGTGGGGCTTGAACTCTGGGCCTGGGCGCTGTCCTTCAGCTCTTCAGAGCCAATTTGTGACGCATAGCTCCATGCCTAGAGCCCTGGCTATCTGATGGAGGGAGGAGGAGCTGCTGACATCATGAGCTTCCTTCTGGAGCTGGATATGAACTGAATTTCTAGGGCCTCTCGAGACCTGCATCGTTCAGCCCCTCGCCAGCCCTGGGGCAAGGCAGGCACTGACTGACGGCCCAGGTTCACCTCCTTCACTGCAGGTTTCAGTGACCAGGATGTGAGGCAGCTGGGCATCCCCAGCGCAGAGGAGTACTTCAGGATGTACTGTCTCCACATGGGCATCCCTGCCATTGAGAACTGGAACTTCTACCTGGCCTTCTCCTTCTTCCGTGTGGCGGCAATCCTACAGGGAGTCTACAAGCGGTCGCTCACAGGTAACGGGGTGGCCATTCGGATGAGTCTCAGCCAAGACAGTGCTCAACTGCTCTTCCTCTTACCCTAGAGGTATGGCAGGAACTGGTCTGACCAGAATTCTATAATAGTTTATTCATTCATCATAAAAACTTAATAGGTAATATTTCTCTTTCTTTTTTAAATATCAGGTCTGGGGCTCGAAGTCATGACTGGGCTGTGTCTCTGAGCTTTTTTGCTCAAGGATAGCACTCTACCACTTAAGCCACAGCTCTGATTCTGACTTTTTAGAGGTTAATTAGAGATAAGAGTCTCACAGAAGCTGGGTGCCAGTGGCTCACACCTGGCTACTCAGGATGCTGAGATCTGAGGATCACAGAAGCCAGCCTGGGCAGGAAAGCCCATGAGTTCTTTATCTCTAATAAACTACTCAGAAAAGGCCAGAAGTGACACCGTGGTAGTGTTACCCTTGAACAAAAGAAGCTCAGGAACCAGGCACCGGTGGCTCACGCCAGTAATCCTAGCTACTCAGGAGGCTGAGATCTGAGGATCGCTGTTTAAAGCCAGTCTGGGCAGGAAAGTCCGTGAGACTCTTATCTCCAATAAACCACCAGAAAACTGGAAGTGGCACTATGGCTCACGTGGTAGAGTGCTAGCCTTGAGCTGAAGAGCTAAGGGACAGCGCCCAGGCCCAGAGTTCAAGCCTCATGACAAAAAAAAAAAAATCTCACTTTCCTGCCCAGGCTGGCTTTGAGCCTCGATCCTCAGATCTTAGCCCCCTGAGTAGCTAGGATGACAGTTGTAAGCCACTAGTACCAGCTTAATTATTCTTTAAATAGGAAAAATAGTCCTTGTGAAAAGACTTGGTGCAGGCATTTCAGAGAGCATAGGAAGAGCAACTCAAGTGAGCAGCTAGTGCTGCTTGCTGATCTAGCCAAAATGCTGAGTAGCCCCTGGCCATCTGTTGTCACGTGACTGTTGTCCAGCCAGGTGGCTGAGCACAATACAGGATGCCTCCTCGCCCGCTGGTGCAGCACGAGTCACTGGCGCACCCCTAGGCGAATGCAGTTTCTGGAAGTGAAGCACAGAGGGCAGGTAGACCTGCCTTTGACCTCGAGTTCCCTGTCCATTCATTGGCAGCTTGAACAAGTCACTTCCATCCCTGAGCCTCAGTTTCCTGTGCAAAGTGCAGATTAAGACAGTGGTATGGCTGGAAATGAGCGGTAGTGGCGGTCATCCTTGCACAGGTCAGCATCCCAAGGTGCCTCTAATCGCTGCTGTCCCTCGTTCTGCTTAGGGCAAGCAAGCTCAGCGACGGCCGGACAGAGTGGCAAGCTGGCCGAATTTATGTCTAACTTGGCATGGGACTTTGCAACTAAAGAAGGCTTCCGAATTTTCAAAGAGATGCCAGTCACCAAACCAGTCACAAGGTCCCACCATGTGTGGAGCCGAGCGCAGGGCCTGCTAAGCCCCACCGGCATGAGGAGACACAGCTCTGTTCCAGAAGCTTCGCCAGCTCATGCCACCAAGGGGGCTCTGGTTCTCTCTCCAGAAGGCCTCTCCCCAAGGGTCAGGACGCTGTATGGCCGCCTGCAGCAGTTTATGGAGCAGCAAGTGTACCCTGCAGAGCCAGAGCTGCAGCGACACCAGGCCTCTGCCGACAGGTGGAGCCCTTCCCCGCTCATGGAAGACCTCAAGGTAAGGAAGAGCTGGCCGCGGGTAACATGGCCAACCTCGGCCCTTACTCCAGGGCTCACCTGTGGCCCTCAGGCCCGCTGAGCAGAACTAATCTTGGCTCCCCATACTCGGTTTTATCCTGAGTTCTGGTTGTGTAGTCACAAACACACAGATGGGTGTGGAAGAGGAAGGCTGTGTGTGGCTTGGAAAGCCAGGCCAACCGGGTTGTCTATTTCAGAATGGAAGCAATAAAGTGTGTGTGGTTACCATCTGCACTGATTTCAACCCCAGTACCAGCACACACACACACACACACACACACACACACACACACACACACACACACATACACACACACACACGCTAATACCCATGTAGCAAACACCTTGAGAGAAGTAATGCCTAGTATGAATCTTTTTTGGTTACTTCTGGTCATATCTGAATAAATTCAGATATGTAAACCTGGGGGCCAGCTGACGGCCTGTCACTGCTGGCTGGCTCTGGCTGTTCCCCGGGGGCTTCCCGTGTTTCTGCCATCTGCCTATCCAGCCAGCGGCAGCCACTCAGGTCATTGTTCTTGAGACCACTGCATCTCTACTGCATCTCCCATTAGACATCCTTTCTGACTCTGGCTCATGCTTTTCTGTGACAGGACAAGGCCAAGGCTGAAGGACTTTGGAACCTTTTCCTTCCTTTGGAGAGCGACCCAGAACAAAAATACGGAGCAGGACTGACCAACGTGGAGTACGCACATCTGTGTGAAGTCATGGGCACGTCTCTGTATGCGCCTGAGGTACCTTTGCCATGCCTTGCTCAGTGCAAGAAGAGCAGCTCCCCACCCAGAAAGGCAGACTCAGGGCAGCTGACAGGAGCGTAAACTTTTCATCTGAAAGGAGGACAGCGGTCAGCTCAGCGGGGCAGTCACCCAGGGATGGCAGAGACTCCAGCCCCGGCGCACACAGAGGGGTCTACAGAGAATTTGAGATTTCATTTTAAAAATGCACGTGTGAGGGCTGGGAATGTGGCTTAGTGGTAGAGTGCTTGCTTAGCATGCATGAAGCCCCCGGTTCGATTCCTCAGTACCACATACACGGAAAAGGCGGGAAGTGGTGCTGTGGCTGAGCAAAAGAAGCTTAGAAACAGTGCCTCGGGCCCTGAGTTCAAGCCCCAGGACTGGTACAAATATAAATAAAGAAAAATGCATGTGTGCCTATTAATTCTAGTTACTGAGGAGGTGGAGATCTGAAGATCCCAGTTCAAGCTTGCCCAGGCAGGAAAGTCTGTGAGACTCTTAGCCACCAGAAGAGCACACAGCCACTCTTCGAGCACCCAGCTTGATAGAAAAAGCTCAGGGACAATGCCCAGACCCTGAGTTTAAGCCCTACTACTACTACTACTACTACTACTACCACACACACATGCACACATGCACACACACACACACACACGCATGCACGCACGCACGCATGCACGCACGCACGCATGCACGCACACAGGGCATATATGAGCATTTTCATAGGGGGAGAGGAGGAGTACTTCCACGAGTCCTCAGCGGGAGTTTGAACGTGGCTGTGGGGGTCTCTGCTGCACTCTTTGTCCTTGGCAGATGTTCAACTGCTCCGCGCCAGACACGGGAAACATGGAGCTGCTGGTGCGCTATGGCACAGAGGAGCAGAAGGCCCGCTGGCTGATCCCTCTGCTGGAGGGCAGGGTGCGCTCCTGCTTTGCCATGACGGAGCCCCAGGTACCTTCCTTGGGCCGTCCTGCCTTGCTGGGCCTGCCTAGTCTCTGCACAGAGGCAGGGGCAGTGGCGGCGCTAACTGGAACGTGCTTCCATGCAGGTGGCCTCGTCAGATGCTACCAACATCGAGGCTTCCATCCGAGAGGAGGATGGTGTCTATGTCATAAACGGTCGCAAGTGGTGGATCTCAGGTATATGACCTAGAATCAGCTTTCAAATACATGACAATGGGTATCAGAGAGCACACTTCCTGAGGCCTGGTAGGCCAGTTCTCTCTTAGGTGACACTAAAAAGGTATTGAGCCAGGTGCTCAGCCTGTAATCCTAGTTACTCAGGAGGCTGAGATTTGGAGGGAGGATCAGGGTTTAAAGCCAGTCTGAAAAAAAAAAATCTGTAGGATTCCATCTCCAACTAACTAGAAACATGCTGAATGAGAGCGCAAGGCCCTGAGCTCAAACCCCGATACCTGCCAACACCCCTCACCACACACACTCACAAATCTAAACGGGGAGAGCCCACCTCTGCTCTCAGCAGGAGTGCCACATGGGGTACACTGCTCTCACATGCAAGTATAACCCACCTGTCACCGTCTGCCCCACAAGTGACTCTGTGATCTGTCCCCTTTGTGATGGCCCCTGCTTTTAGCTCAGGTGTGTTATATCAAAAGGGTTGAGAGCCTGGCCCCTCTCTGGGGTGTTGCCTCGCCCAGGCCCCCCATAAACATTCTGGACTGTCTCACTGGCCCCCTCCCCCCTTTCTACAGAAGGCAGAGATTAGTGGCGCTGTAGCTCAAGTGGTAGAGCGCTCGCCTTGAGCTGAAGAGCTGAGGGACAGCGCCCAGGCCCAGAGTTCAAGCCCCACGACCGACAAAA